CGATTCGTGTTGCTGAGCGTGGAAGTTCGTTATAAACGGAAAGTGAATATACAACTATCCTAAAAAGTGATCGTTATATCCGGAAGTTCGTTATAGACGGGTTCGTTATAACCAGTAAAAAAATACGTTGGTTTTTATGGATGACGTTCCAATTAAAGGAAAAAAAATCGTTTTAACCGAAAGTTCACTATAACCGGGTTCATTATAAGCGGACTAAACTGTATTTCAATTCACCGATTGAGATCACATTTAATATTCGTGTGTGCGACTCCCATGTTCCAAACATGCCGGAGTGCCCAAAAAAACTATGCAAATTTCCACACTTGCAGAAGAACAACTGGACTATTAAATAGCGTCAACACCGAGTTATCTACCTGTTTACCTTTTTCGATTAAAAACTTTCGCAAAACTTGCAACGGTTAATGAACGTCGCAGACTGGAGCATTGAAAAAATTGCCAAAAATTCCAGAAAACCAGGGAAACGTTGAATTTTCCGTATAAATCTGCGTTAATTTACAACACCCCGTATCAGGTCGCTGTATAGCAACGCTCAGTTGCCACTAGATGACACTGACCGCGAATCGCTCTTTGTTGAGCATGTATTTTCGTTCCAGTGTGCTGATCGCTGACTAATGCTAGTTTTCCAGGGAAAAAATTGATGTCAGCCGCATTTGCCGGGTCCAATGATGAAAAATAATCGCTGGGGCATAGGTAAGCATTGGGGCGCATCCAGAATGCAGAAACTGAGCGCTCAGCGCCCTTTTCCTACAACGCAAAAGACGATTTGGTATTGATTATCCATGTTTGCGAGCTATTTTTGTTGAATGTAAACAGTGTGCTAAGCGCTGAACGATTAGGCGTGCATTATTGAAATGCCTGGACAGGTTTGCGCTTCAAAGGACAATCAAATCGCGTGCATTTGCCGATGTTTTTTTCGCATGTTCTTAGTTCGTGAGTTGCTAGTATTTGCTTCAACCAAAGCCCTCGATTGCCTTTGGTTTCCCCCTGTTCTATTGCCTATTCTGGCCTCAGTTAAAGCACCTCGTTATAGCCAATTACTCGCTTCCTAGTTGGGAGCTAAAAAAAGCGCAATGCAGCCGAGCTCGATAAATTAGAAAGGTGTTTCAATGCACACACAAGCAAGTTTCTTAAATTAATATTCTCCAGCATTCATGCACGTTTAGCGCTTTTAATAAACAGCCGATTTTGAACAGGTCTGATAATGTTCGGGGAGCGCCAAGCAAAGGCCGAGTCCGCCCCGCCGGAGGCCCAAAACAAGCAGGACCCCGATAAAGTTGCCGCTAAAATGACCGAGACTACGCCCCTGGGGTACGAGAACTACGAAAACCCCTTCTACAAGGACCAGCCCAGCTCCATCCTCTCCTCTTTGGGCAGTGTGCTGGTCGTGATTGGTACGGCCCTGGTTGTCTTTGCAGCTGCCAGAAATACCATCACGTGGTGAGTTTGGGCGATAAAACTGGAGATTTTTGAACGACCAAAACGCAAATAACCCGACTTAATCGGGCCATTCAAACAAATTCAGGGAAAAAATGACCGAGATCCTGAGGTATGGCCGAAGGGAATTGCCACATTTGCACATTTCAAACCTTCGGGAGTTGAGGAACAGTCGAGGGAGTTACAAATTTAGGGGGTATTATTTTCCCGCTAAACCCAGCTGATGGGAGTTAATAGGCTCGAAACCGGTCCTGGGGATATACCTGAGATTAGCACATATCGAAACCTTCACTTGCAGTTTCTTCAAAAATTGCCGCTTTTTGTCAAGGGTCGGGTAAAAACCCTCTTACAGCGAAAGTTTTGCATTTTTTCAGTGTCGTGCCCGTAGGCGCCAACGGCCTTCTGTCTTTGGACTTACCTTGATAAATAACGAAACTCTAAACTAAAGCGAAATTTAAAGTAAGACTATAAGACCTTTGACTGTTAAAATCAGAATGGTGCAAACCGACTTCTCCCAACTCGACTCTGGTTATGCATCAAGGTGGGTTTAGTTGCGATGGAAACGATCCTATATCAGACCTGCCATTGGGCTGACGCTTGCAAGCCAAAATGGGCGCAGACCCTTTGCACCACTGGCTCGCAAATGTGTGCGTAAATCCTCTAATAAAGATAAACAAGCGTGATAATAATGTAATCAGTTTTCGCAAAACGTCGGTTCCCGATTGGCTGCACTACGTACATGGTTAAATAAAGCAACTGATTAAAGTTAAAGTCATTGAAAATGTGACGGAGTCTTTGTTAGACTGTCGGCCAATGCAGCGTCGCACTACATTGCATGGACAACAAAGCGTTAATTAGGTAAAGTGTAATTGGCGCGCAACCATTGTTCTTGTACTGGGATTAGTGTTTTTCAATGGATAATGGACGGGGACTTTTTTAGGCATGCCCAGAAGTTCTGGGGTGCGTCCGGCGACTTCTGGCAGGCCCAGTGGGACAAGTTCCTTAATGTGGCCGGCGAGGACCCGCTTTTCCTATGGGTGTTCGGCTCGACGGCGATCACCTTCGGCGTCTACTGGCTCTTCGGGGGCGTCTACACGTTCCTCGATGTCACCAACATGCCCAAAGCGATTCGCCGATATAAAATCCAGCCAGGAACCAACGAGCCGGTCGATAGGCGGCGACTGCTCAAGGTCTGCTCTTTTAGATCATTAACATTCTTCTGGCTCTTCAATGGGGGTTTCAATTAGGTGATTTGGTGCGTGCTGCTCAATCAGATCGCGGTCGGCATCCCGTCCTCGTATATTATGTACTACTCGATGAAATGGAGGGGTTTTCCTGGTATCCGAGAGCTGCCCACCTTCCACTGGGTGCTCTACGAGTTGGCCATTCACATCATGGTGGAAGAGGCCGCTTTCTACTACTCCCACAGGTGAGACTATTGATGGTTTGCTATGAAGTGGTGTTTCTTCTCATTATTATTGCCCTCACTAGGACAAAATGCGAATAACATACTGTAATTTGTCTAATTTTTGCAGGTTTCTCCACAGCAAACATATCTACAAGTACATCCACAAGCAGCACCATGAATGGACGGCGCCCATAGCAGTGACCGCCATCTATTGCCACCCCATCGAGCACATTTTCTCCAACTTGGTGCCCCCGTTCTTGGGGGTGTTTGTGATGGGCTCGCATGTGGCCACTGCGTGGCTCTGGTTCACTCTGGCTATTCTCAGCACCCTCAACGCCCACTCTGGCTACCATTTGCCCTTTTTTCCCAGCCCTGAGGCGCACGACTTCCATCATTTGAAGTGAGTGGTTTTGGCCCCGCATCTTTCCCAGTTTTACCGGGTTTGACTTGCCAGGTTCAATAACTGCTTCGGAGTGCTGGGGGTTCTGGATCGGATCCATGGCACTGATGCAGCCTTCCGACAGACTCGCGCCTATCTGAGACACATCATGATGCTGAGCTTCATTCCACCAAGAGTGGCCATTCCAGACACCCAACTGACCAAGATGAAGTACTGGCAGATGCAGCACGACTTGAAGCAACAGTAAACTCCCATCAGTAGTGCAGGTTTTTTCACATTTTCCAAACAAAACGCTCTCTCTCAGCCGAAGTTGACCTGCTCTCATTGGATGGCTGCAAATCATCCAGTTAAAGCAGGACGGGGGGTTGTGACGGGGAGTGAAAGTGCAACTAGTGTGATAGAAAAGACTGGACTGAAGGCGGGCATTCACCGGACAATGTATATTTGTAAAAATCCTATTGGATTTGTTTCACTTGCTTTGCAAGAACGTTTTGTTGCAACACTTCCTTTAGGGCACTTGTGCACTGCTTTATTTAGCCGGCAACACCAATCTAATCGCACCCACTAGAACGGTTTGGTTTTGTTGATTTGACACAGGAACGTGCCTTTGAAATGGAGCAAGTAATCCAGAAAAGCTGGCTGGTCTGGATGAATGGGCTGTGGATTAAAGCGAAGCTGGACAAAACTCTTTTTCACCGCTGTGGTGTTTGTTTTCGGCGTTCGAGAAATGTGAGAGTAGGGTTTTGTTTGCGCAATCACTCATCAACTTTATAGGGTATAAAGCTATTAAATCTCCTGAACGAGACCAGGATCTAATGTAAAAATGTGATGTTTTGCTCTAGGACTATTAGGCCTATATACCGGGTGTAAGTAAAATGTGGGGTGTTTTTGGTAAGTTGATGCATTCCTTGGCATATTCGGTACACCTGAATGCGACAAATTATCACACAACACCCTGTACATGTTTAATTAGAATAATTACTCGAAAAATGCTGGCATACATGCTTAATGAAGCTTGAGGGCTATTGCATACAGGGTGATTTGCTCAAATATTTTCTGAGTTTCCTCGTTTGAGACTGTGGCCATATGTTTAAATCAATTTAAAATTATCTGTCTGTGATATTTTTTGAAGGTGCAATTTTCCATTTAGTAGTAAAATACTGATTGATAAAGTTACTTTTCGGTCCAAATTACCGGTTGGTTCAGTTTCAATCGTGAAAAAAACAAAGAAACTCGTGAAGGTAGCAAAGTATATACAATACACAGGGTGGAGACTGTGACTGGACTAAATTTGCTAGCGGGCAGATGCATAATTTCCTATTTCCAAATTTGTTGCGAAAAGGGAAACTTCCAGGGCATTTAAACTGAATTGTGCTCTTTTCCATGGAGTGTCTAGCGCTTTTCTATCTTTCCTAGTTTTTGCGTAATTAATTTTTGAAAGACACCATTGCACTCAAAAGACGCAGTGGGGAGCGTGACAAAAGTTGCTTCACAGACATGCCAATATTCTACAGATTTTTTGCCAAAAGTCATGCGAATGCAAGTTTTACTATTTTCAATGGATTGCCAAGCGCTTCTCTATCTGTCCCAGCTCCAAATTGTTCAACCTTCCGCTTGCGAATTTATTCCAGTAAAGTCTCCCCCATGTATACTTATCTTGAGAGCGTGAATCCTTGTTATTTCAAGCCTTATCATGTTTTTAACGATTAATTCCAAAAAATATTATTTCTTGAATAGCATGTTTAGGACAAAGAAGAAAATATTTGTTCAGTTTTATTGCAATGATTGCAAAACTGCCATTGACCGTGATAGGAACACACAATTAAAACGTGTTTTAATTGGTTTTTATCTAAAAATTATTCGGCGGGCAAAACATCAGAATCTATTTCTGCTTGATATCAAAGGAACATTCTGCCACCGATTTTTGCCGCGTTTCATGCAAGATTTGTCTTAAACTGGCAGGAACTTTTCGGTCGCTACACCCGGTATTCTCAGAAAAAACTCATATTTTCATTACCACCTTTATAAAGCGCTTTTTTATACAGTGCGTTTCATAATAGCATGTACAAGGGGCCGGGTAATTTGTAAATATATTCGGCTATTTGATATGTTTTGCTAAGAACTCACAAATTTCTCAAAATTCACCTTTTTGCAAATGCGGACATTCCAAAGTAATTATTCTAATTAAGGCGGTTTTACTAGGCGCAACCTATATAAGGTTTAAATAATTTTGTACATAAGAAATTGAGAATGATTGAAGTAGATTTCACGTCAGCCACTAAGCGCCATCAAAAGCAAAAAAAAACTGTGGAACAAATTTCGAATTAAAACTGATGAGTTTTTCGGGCTTTTAAGCCGTTGTGGAAAATAACTTGTTCCTGACGTTTCGGAAGCACGGGTGGCCTGCATCTTCTGAGATGCATTGCCCAACCACTCTAAAAGCCCGAAACTGTTTTGATAAATTTCTATGTTTTGGTTCAAACACCCGTACAAAAAGACTGCGATTTTCTAAACAACAAATTATTTCCAATAAGCGGTTTGTTAATTTGTGTATAAATGTAAAAGCATTTTAATATATAAGATATTCAAACATGCATTTGCCCTCTTATTTGATTAGGGAAAACACGTATCCTGTCGCGTACAACATTTATTTATACATCTATACATCTTTATAAAAATACAGTTTGTATAACAATAAAAAGTATCACAACAATGTATTGCATTATAAGGCACTTGGGTGCTTATAGTAATCACTAATCAGGGCTTCTTCCAAATTATACCAACTGATTAAGCCTGGTGTAAGTGACAATTTTTGAGGTTTCTGCGCTTAAAAGGGCCAAATTCAGCCGTCTTCTATACAGAGTGTTCAAAAAAATGGTAAAATATGTTCAAATTTTTAAATATGAATAGTCCCTTAAAAAGCCGACTCAATTTAGTTTTTTTCCTCTTAACGTTTTTTCGTTACACGCGATCTTTCCGAGGAAAATGCTGAAATGTAATAGAATGCACATGGAGATTTGCATCATTGCAATCAAATGAATATGGCGATTGGAATAAATGTCTGTTTCGTCTTTGAAAACGGGGCGTTTAACGAAAAAAACTCAAGGAACAAAAACTGGCTTAAATTTATTGGGCTTTTGCTGGACTATTCATTCTTTCTGATCAATCGAATCTATCATGATCGGCAAGCAAAAAACTGCTTTAAAAACTATTTTAGGCGCAACTCGTGTGGCCCCTTTCGTTCACACCCTGTACAGAATCGTCAAATGCTTCTTAGACTAATACAAGCATGCTGCGGAAGATATCGGGGTCAGTTTTGATAAATGCCCTCAATGAGAAAGTCCATTCGCTTATAGTTGCGATGCTGCCACCAATCGGCGCCCCTTTTATAAAGCAGTGACAGCAAAATAGCCACAAGGGGCACCGATAAAATGACCACCACTATGGGGATAATATACTTTGAACGCGTGCTTTTGCTGCTCAATAGACTGGGATCGATTTCCTCCACATCAATTTCGTTCTCTATGGAATCCTCCTGGCTTATATAGTCGGTGTCAGCCTCTGTTATCAGAGGCTTTTTATAGGTGACCGTGCCATTGGCCGTCGTATTGTTAGTACGAAGGTCGGAAAAACTTACCCCCTTCTTGGGCACCACTGGCTTGTGCCCGTCCTGCTGAGTTTCCTGCAGCAAACTCTCCTCACGCACCGGCTTAACGACTTCACTGCTAATCCCTGAAACTGCACTTGGGGCTCAATCCAGCTCCAGTAAGTTTCGGAGAGTCACGACTCACCATTCGTTTGAGCCAGCGCCTTTTGCACTGGTGGAACCTCCACCATATGCTCCCGTCCAGTGTGTGTTGCTAGCAAAACTTCAGGGCTACTAAGGGGAAAACTCACTGGGCTGGGGGAACTAGTGGGAGGCTTGGCACTTGTGACGTTGCCCATATTGGGCCCCAAGTCCCCTTTCAACAGGGGCAGCAGGGCTAGACAGAGTAAAGGGGCAAACAGCATGGTCTTTCCAGCCCTCACGCCGCAAGGGGGTTATCGAATTAATCCGTCGGTTGGTCAATGCCAAGCACTTAAGCGAAACTCATATCAATAAAAACTATTTAAAACCACATCTGCAAAGTTTAAAAACTTGCACTTTTAGCACCTAACCTGCTAGTAGATGACGTTTCGGCTGATAGTCAAATGCAAATAGTTTGATAATCTGTGGTCAAATTAAGGTTAGAAGTCGTTTACAAACAATGGGAAAGCCATAAATGAAGACAAGAAAGCTGGTTTTTCTGTAATTGTCATCTAAGTGAACCGCATTAAGCCCTACGAAGCGCCATTAAGCGCGGACGATTATATTCGCTTATAGAACAAAGCTGGATAAGAGCAGCCCAACTGTTCATATCACGTTGCCTCAAGTTGATTTAACTGGTAAGCAAACGTTTTCTAGGGGTGCAAACGGCAAGCTCTCAAAGTACCCCACGTCCTTTTTTAGATATATTCCACACCGTCGACTTCCAGTCAGTCTTGCAAGAAAATCAGTCAATTATCGCAATGGCTGCGTGGAAGGTTAGAACGTATCCTGGAGCTTCCCAGATCAAGGCACTGAAGCCCCAATTCATCATCAAGTATGTGCCCTCGGAGCCTACGTATTTCTTAAAAATGAATCCCTTGAAACATCCGGAGGACGGGAAGCTGAAGTACCCTTTCGACACCCTAGTGAAGGACATCAAGAACATGAAACTGCCATCGCCCACCTGGAAGATCAAGGTGGTGGTGAAGAGCAACAAGATTGCTTCGATTATCTTCACGAATAAGTGCGTGTTAGAGAGAACAGTGAGTTTCGGGGCGAAGAGCGAGTTCTTTGAAATTGTCATTGAGAACAGGCCTGCCTTGCTGTTGGGGAGCCCTAATACTGTTAACTGCGTGGAGGACATTGAGATATTGTTGGGGATTATTCACACCATCAATGCCAAGGACTGTATGATTTTTTATAAGAAATAATTTCGAATGGTTAGGACAGTTTGATTGGCGGAATTGAAGAACACTATAAGAAGCTAACATCTAAGGAAATTATTTACTTTATTTTTCATTCATCCAGTGAGATCCAGTTGATTTGTATTATTACTAGACATAATAATTTTATTTAGTATACTTTTGGAGTCGTTTATTATCTGTCCTCAATTAATTTTCCTTTTCTATAAACCTCCACCGCAGGACTGACCATAGATAAAGACAAGTATAGATAGCCCACTCTCTCGCACTTTGTTGGACCCGCGCTAACCTGCTGCCATCTATTAATGCAAAGGCACAGCTGCGTTTTAAATCTGCTTGCGAGTATGCGTCCCTGCTACTTGTTTTGAAGGTTTGTGTCCTTACTATTATTGGTGACCGATT